AGCCTCAGCTCCTCTAACATATCCAGGTAACTGAAGCACTTTGTCCTTGGAACTATTCTTGTGAATCTGTTCTTGCACCCTGTCTCGTGCTTCACATCCTTCCTAAAGTATTGGTGTCCAACACTGGCCTCAACTGGCATAATCTCCAATCTACAATTTTTTGTTACTTTTGTACTCTGGCAGGTGAAACTGAACACTGATTTTCTGGCCCAGAGATAGTGATACCACTGCTGCACCATAGGACCTTTGTGTCCAAGGCCATGTAAACTGTTAACATGACAGCAGTGCTTTGCTGTACTGGAGATAACAAGATGTTGTTTGAAGTGCGGTAGGGCATTTGTGAAAACGCAGCACAAAGGGAAGAAATAATTAATGCAGAAACACCGTAAAAGCAAAATTCATGAATTGCACTGTCACAAGCATGGACTAAAGGAGAGGCTTGTCGTGTGATACGTATTGCGTGAATCTCAAGGTGAAAAATGGTCCTAAAGGGGAGGTCGCTTTATTCTGAACATGAACCTGCAAGAAAATTACAGGCTTTAGTTGACTGATGCTGTTAAGACCTTAGCAGTTGACAAACTTGATATCCCTACATTTGTCCATTCAGTTTCTGCGTCTTGGAGGGATGTCAAAAAAAACTACGTTATAACTACTCCATACTCCGGATTACCACTTAATAATGTTATGGGGAAACTGCCAGTTTTTCTTTTTTACTAAAGTTTTGAACTTTTCTTCATATTGTCAAAAAATGAAATGGATAATAGTGCAAAGTGACTTGAACCATCAGTTTGTAAATGTGGATCATAAATGTGGTATTGACACTTCTTTTCAATAACATGCAATAATTGCTTGAAAACAGTTTGGCCGACAGGACTGTGGATAGTTTTGCTACCAGGATTTTGATAAATGCTGTATGAAACTGTGACTGTGTTCAAGGAAGCTCTTGAAAAATATCTAATGTGCAGTTGGATTTTTCTCCCCCAAAATTTGGATTGCGTCTGAAGGAGTAATTCCTAGTTGTAAAATCGGGGTGAATTTTTCCTGATTGTTCAGTGATTAATTGTCTAATGGCAATGTTGATTAAAAACCAACAGAATAGTAGATTTTATATGGTGATTTTTGGTGCCACTGGACACTTCAAAGTGCTTTGCAGACAATGAAATACTCTTGAAGTGGAATCATTGTCGAAATGTAGAAAACGTGGCAACCAATTAGCACTTTGGCAAACGTCCCCAAAAAGCAAACTGATAATCAGTTAACCTGTTTTCAATATTGACTAAGGGATAAATATTAACCAGGACACTGGGAGCAATGCCAGTTCTCTTCCAAATTGTGCCGTGCGATTTTTGTAAATTCACCCAGAAAGGAAGATAGGGCTTTCTAATTAACAACAAATTGAGTGAATGATCCACAGCTATTTATAAACATTATAACACAACCTTTGGGCATATTGACATGAATAATCCTGTGTTAATTTTACTAAAATTCAATGTTGTACTGCTGTGCAGTATGGTAATTCTGAAGACCATAAGAAATAAGCACAGGAGTAGGCTGTTTGGCTCCTTGAGCCTACTCTGCCAATCAATAGGATTATGGCTGATCTGCCATTTATTCCTCTACTGATCAAGAATCTATCCATCTGTGCCTTAAATATACGTAAGATCTCTGCGCCCAACAACTTTCAAGGAGTTCCAAAGAAACTCGACCATCTGAGAGAAGAAATTCCTGCTTTGATGAGCACCTCTCATTCTTCTAAATTGCAATGAATGGAGTCCCAATCTGTTCAACCTTTGCACACAAGGCATATCATCAATCATTTTAAAGAACCCTCTCTGAATTGCCTCCAATGAACTATCTTTCTTTAAATAAGAAGACCAAAACTGTTCACGGTTCTACAGATAATATCTCACCAGAGCTTTGCACAGTTGCAGTGAGATTTCCTTACTATTGTAGTCCAAACCCCTTGAAATAAGGGCCAATATTTCATTAGCCTTCCTGCTTACCTGCTTCACCCATCTGCTAGCTTTGTGTTTTGTACACGATCCCCACAGTCCCTTTGTGTTGCAGCCTTATGCAGTTTTTTTGATATTTACATTACACTCTCTTCTTTTGTCCTCCCTTCCAAATGAACAACATCACATTTTCCCACATTATACTCTTTATGCCAGCATTTTACCCGCTTGCTTATCAATATCTCTCTTACAATCGAAAATACTTCAATATTTTCTATTCAGTTCCTTCATCTCAAGGCAAGATCTGAGAATGTGGTTTTTAAGGAGCTTTATGTGAAACTTGTCCATCTGATCAGTTGCTAAGGCCTGGGCGATCCACCCAGCTATTGATTTTTAGATTCATTGTAGTCATACCCATTAATGCGGCAGCACTACATAATTTATAACTGCTTTGCCATTCATATTTCAATCAGGTAGTGCTTCTTGCTTTATCAAATCTGAGCTGAATAATCAGGTCTTCCATTTTGACCTCATTACTATTTTGAGTGGAAGCAAGTTCCAGCAAATATATTTTACTTTTTACTAATCCCTGGATTCTTATTTCATCCTTGTGTTGGGTTTGTCTATAATGAAAATTGAATTTGCTTTTTGCCAACCAGAGCTAGAGTTTTGACGGTAATTAGGCTAGTAAAATACAACAAAATATTGCTGCATATGTTAGCTATGAGGAGTATTGAATTTTAACTGTAGAAAGTTAATGAATCTTTATTATCTGACAGCCACCTCTTCAGTTTTATTTTTGAAAGTCTGTGAATTGACCAATTTAACACATTCAGATACTTCTGCCATTATTGCATTTGTACCATATTGGTCAGAAAACAAATTGGTTTTTCAGGTAAATAATTTTTTGAATAGAATTTCAACACAAAATGCCCCATTTAACATCAGCTTCTTCCATTTTATACAGAGCTGTTGTTTTTAAAATTTGCTTAAATGTCTTGTGGAATAAATATATCAAACAATGGATAGAGTATATCAAGCCAACCTAGGTTTCAAAGGTGAAGAGGCTTGGCTGCTAATTGCCAGTGAGCGATCTCGAGAACCTAGCAAATTACATTGTAGTTTTAGTTCCATTTTAAATTAAAATGCTGATGTATGTATAAAAGTGGCCATCTTAATTTGCCAGAACATTGTGTAACAAAGAAGTTCATTTCAATTAACATTCAACTGTACCGAACTTCCAAATTACTATTTCTGACGTGGATTGATGCAACCCTTATGCTACCTCAATCTGACACTAGTGTTTTTTTTTTGGCTCATGTTCATTGTACCAAGATTTCATGTAAATATTGTACTTCCGCAGGAATACAGAACAAAACTTGCATTAGCTCTAAATTTCAACCTGTTTGCTGTGCGAACGTTGACTTCCTGAATAAAAGTACTTTTGGTCAGTGGAATATCCTTGAAGGCAAAAGGATAAATCGTCAAACGTTCCCAAGTCTGTTGCTCTGATGTTCAGCTCCATGTGGTCATGTCATTAATCACACACTGATATTTCTGAAGTCTTGCAGGTGCAGCTTCTTCAGGAAATTAAAATCTTGAGATTTTTCCTCAATCACTCTTTCCAAAAACAATTGTTTTCGGAAATGGGAGAAATCAGCTGGCGTCTTGTTCTTAAAAGACTTCCCTCCATCTGAACCAGATAAAAGAAAAACTTTCTCCAAGCTAGTCACTGTTCAAGAATGACCTCAGCAAGGGTCAGTAATGTGATTTGGAGGAAGCTTTGTTTAAAAATAATCTTTTAAAACATAATCTTAAAGAAACAACTCAATATCAGCAATTTGAAATAAATTATTTTTACACAAACCATCAAAGCCCAATTCTTTCATGCTATATCGAGGAATTTGATTGTCATAGCATTTAAAGATCTCCAGAAGTTGCACCTTATTATTGAATTAATTTGGTTTTTAAATAGTGTGGTAACACGTGGCTGAACGACTTATCTGGCCATGGACGACTTATTTTTGTGTAATGTCAACTATGATGAATTGCAGGAATTTTTTTCAAGTATGTTTCATATTCATATCGTGTTTCTTATATCTTTGTCCTACTTGTCCACTCAATGGCCAATTTGAAAAAAAATGAAGATCGAGTAGTAAGCTTTACTTTATGGTTTGCTGTCTGAGAATTCTTGAATGTGATGGCTGCTTGCCCTGCTTTGTTATTCCCTTTACTAGAAATTTGTAGATCCCTTGACTTGGCATCAGATTTCTTTAACATTGTGAAAAGTGAAATTCACATAAGAATTTGCTGTATTCTTGTCGGTCAGTTTCTTCGAGGTCACTTGCAAGTGCTCACTTTGTGCCAAAATCATTATAAGCAAATCCGTAAGATTTTTTGACTCCTCCTATCCAGGATGTCAGCTTTAGCCAGAATGCTTCATTTCATTGAAGCAAGACTGGGTATGCATGTTGTGCGCACAAAAGAAAGGACAGTACATTTACCATTTGAGTTTGATTTCAGTTTTTGTAAAATTATTCAGCAAGGGTAGAATCATACAAATTATGGCACAGCCCATTCACCCAATTATGTGATGTCTTGCTTGGTGCTGTCTAATCTAATTCTATTACTATGCTTTTTCTCAGCTTTAAATATACTACTTAGTGTCAGGGATTATAATTGTGTTTTATAACTACAATAAGTCGCTGCTTCACATTTGTTCTATTTTAACATTGTGAGCCAGTTAATGTAGTAGTGTCAATGTATGTATCGAAAGCTGCTAGCTTCACTTTGAGTTTGATTGCCACAGACACAAATGATGCAGCAGGTTAAACTTCATAAATTATTCGAGTTTAAAAGAAAGTTGCAGCATATGAAACTCCATTTTCTGGAAATGGATTTTCAAGCTATCACTTTCCTGAATATTTTACCATGTGCACTTCATAGCTAAACATGTTTAAAAGATGTTAGGCATTCTAAATAATTGTCTTTTAAAATGATTTCGGATAAATATAAGTTTGTTTATGAGAAACCTGTTTCCTTTTCCAGTTTATTCTCCAGATATGCCATCCAGACTTCCAATTCAGGATATTTTTGCAGGACTGGTTACGAGTATTGGTACAGCAATAAGATACTGGTTCCATTATACGTTGGTGGCCTTTGCATGGCTGGGAGTTGTACCCCTCACAGCATGTAAGCATTAAACTATGTTTTATAGCATTTAATCTAGTTTTAAATCATTATTGAGATCTACAAGTGGCATGATAATGCAACATGCATTTATGTATTTTTGGATAATGTTAGACCAATTGATTTGTTTTCTGTTTCCTCTTAAGACTCCCAATTAGTTCCGACCTGAAAGTTTTAAACTCCAATTAAATTTAAGACTAAATTGGTCAACTTAAATTACATAGAGAGGTACAATAAAATTTTGAATGATAGTGTTAAAGGTACTCTGACCCATCATGTCTCTGCCAGTTTGTTGGTAAACTAACTAGTTCTTCTTAGGAAATTGGTTCTTCAGTTTTAGCCTTTCAAAAAGAACATTTTTAAATTGTATTTTCCTATTGCTTTTAATAGTTCTTCAGTACTTGCTTTGAGTCTTGAGCCTTGTAGAAGTTGATGAAACACGTTACAATTGAAGGCATTTTGAGAAACTAAAATTAATTTTATTTCATTTATCTTATCCTAATTAATGTGGTGATTAACTTCCAGCTTGTACCTGTTCTACTAAATAAACAAGTCTTAATAAATATTGAACTATTTTGAAGTGTTATAAATTAATTTCCCTCATTGCATCCTGATTTAATCCATTAGATTGTTCACATCTATCTGACAGGATTTGGACATTGTCCATTATTTTTGATGAAAACTTCATTTGTTCTTAATTCGGCTATGGCTCCTATTTTGTAGAAACTATTAGAAATGCTTTCACTCCCTAGTCTCCACCATGGCCTTCGTTGAAGCGATCGTAGCTTCAGTGTGTGGTGGGTCTGGGATCACACCACTATGATGTTGATGACTATTCCACTTTGAGCACTTCAGTGATTTGGATGCGGTTTAGATCCAGAAAACATAAATAGATTGTAGATATTGTGTGCTTGATGTAAAGATCTTAGACAAAATAGTTATCTAAATTGATCAGTTCCTCAATGCAAGAAATGCCCATAGCTAACAACCAATTATGACTTTGCTTGGATTGTGAAAATGACTGACTGCAAAATAGCAGATTTATACTACATCTACACGCAAACCTGAAAATGGTTGATTTAATGTTGCCTGTCAGTCTTGAAAATTTCTACTGCTGGTCTCCATTCCCCTAATTGCCCTCTCCCTCTAATCTTTAGGAAATCTATTATCATGCTTAAAGGAAAAATTCTAATGTGTGTATATATTTTTATTTCCTCAAGGTGAAGTTTCCCCAGTGCCATGGTCTGGTTTGCGCTAGTTCTTTGGCATGTATTGCAGATTTGATTGGTCTCTTCACTAAAATTTGACTTACCAATTGTGCATAATTTCTTCTACAGTTTTTAAATCACATTTGGAAGTGTGCTGAGATCATCATATGGCCATCGTTTTGAGATATACATATATGTGTGTGTTTATGTCTATACGTATATATGCAAAGTGATGAGAATGCCATCAGACAACTATAGCTCGTGACATTTCACGTTCCCTTTTTTCCCTATTTAGGCCGTATCTACAAATGCTTGTTTACTGGCTCTGTGAGCTCGCTGTTGACACTGCCACTAGATATGTTATCCACGTAAGTTTGTATTTTTTTCAAAAGTAGCTTTATGTAACAGCATAAGTAGTGAAGATATCTGGATCTTCAGTATATTGAGGCTTTAAATGTTTTTGGTCTCCATTCATTAACTGATTTGAATTTTGGAATATTCTTAAATACATGATACATGGTAACATAGTCTTTTCTGTTCCATCTTTTATATGCTTCCTGAATCATTTTGTACATTAAGAACTGGCATTTATTCCGGCTTTTCTTTCTATTAAACCTGTTCAGAGTTTCATTTTATGTCAATACATTTTCTTCACATCGAGATGTCTCAAAATACTTCACTAGTTAAGTTCTCTTGAAATTTAGTCACCTCTGGTCTGGAGAAACAGGGCAATTGACTTTTACACAATGGAATCCCACGTGCAAAAAGATCATTTCGTGGGTAGACTCTTGTGATGCTGGGTGGAAGGGAAATGTTGGCTGGGACAGAATAAGGAATTAATTAACCCTGTTCTCTGTAAACAACAAAAGAAGTATATACATGTAAAAGAGAGTCATACACGTGAAATGAACTATCAGAGCAAGGAATTGTGTTGCGAGCAGGTCAATACTGTACTACTCTTTTTCTGGCCTGCAAAATGATTCATCAAGTAAAACTTTACTCTTCGTAGTTAATGTACAGCGATTATATTCAGCATTTCCCAATGATGTAAACCCAGTTGTGCATCACTGAGAGGATTACTGATATGATGCAAAGCTTTTGAAAGAAATGTGTCCCATTCTTCATTCTGCAGTGTTCTTTGGTTCTGGTGACTGCCAGCGCAAAGTGCTGAGCTTTGTTTCCCTGTCCAGTCTAATGGATTTCTAGTCTGAAACACAAGTACCATTAACACAACAGTTTTTGCTCTATCACATCAGTATGGTAGTGCTATGTTTCACTCCTTTTGTCATATGTGCTTCCAAGGGAATGACTCTGCATTGCTGACTTGTCAAATGCTGCTGTAGTCATTCAACTGTTGGTGATACTTGTTATTTTAAAACAAATTCAATTTTATTTTCTCGCCCTGTGCACCATTCAGTTTCAAAAATCTCCCTTCTGTCAGCAGTTTCAATTTGGTTCTGTGAAATCAAGTTCAGAAGGTTTGTGGCTGAATTCTAGTAATCAGTACCAGTTAGACTCTGGTTTTTAAACAAGTTCTGATGTTTTGCTCAACTTAACAATGGCACTTTTTAGATCTCCCTTAAGAGAGCATTTCGGGTTCAAATACTAGTTTTGTCCAAAGTTAGCTTATTTTGAACTTGATTGTTTGTTTATTTTTAAATTTACCCATATGTGGGGAAGATTCCTTTTAATTCAAATATGGAGCTATGGGTTTTCACATCATTTTGTTTGAGCCACGTGGTATGTACAGATTTGCCCAGTTGTACGTCATGCATTAAAATTTCAAATCGCTTGTATAGAACTGATTCTGCATATTTTAACTTCTGCTCTATGTACTTCCAGAGAGAATCTGCTGGCAGACTCTCTGCAAGGTTGTTTCGTGGTAACATGCACACTCTGTGCGTTCATTAGCCTTGTCTGGTTGCGAGAGCAAATTGTGCATGGTGGAGCTCCACAGTGGCTGGAACAAAACCAGGCCCAACCACCCAATGGAGTTGGGCAAAATGAGGTAGGAGCTATGGAAATAAATATTTTAATTTTTGCTGCAAGTAATAAGGAAGATGATTGACAATGTATTTCAACCTTTTAGATGTGCTTCCTCCTTCATACATGTTTGCATTTTATTATTAGTGTCCTTGTGTTGTCCATTTTATACAGTTTAGGGATTAAAAACAAATTGATCTTCTATGTTTTTAAATATCAGCTTATTTTATATATTTATTTTTAAACATAATCATTTCAGGTTTTTACACTTATTCCATGTAGTTATCCATCAGCAAAGTGCTTGGTGGTCAAAACATGAATCATGATCAAGACCCTGTCTGCTGCACTGTGACATTGCTCATTGTAATGCCAGCTAGCAACATAGTAGAGCAAATTCAGAAGCATCAATTGTTTCGCAAATTTGTTATAGTAACGGAGTTGAAAGGTTCTAGACTGCAATAACCTGCATCATATAGATACAGACTTTGAGTAATATTAATTAGACAAGTAAATATTTCTCTCCTGACCGTATTGGGAATGTCTCAGCAACAAAGTTAGTATAGTGAATTTAACTGCCCACTTTCTCTTGTGCTTTAGTCTGTATCTAAGCTTAATGAGATATACAAAGTTGAGAATTATGTATTGGTTTTCGACCTTTCTACTCCTTCCCAACTGACCTGAAATCTTTGGAGCAAAACAATGATGTCTATTCAAATGTTTAATTGTTGAATTTTGTGTAATTAATTTGCATTTTTCAATCCTGTAGCCTCCAGCAGCTCCCAATGCTGCAGCAGAGAACCCCCAAGCTGCTCAACCAGCAAATCAGGCAGCAGAAAACCCAGCAGCTGCTGCTGGGGCAGCTCCTGCAGCAGCAGATAACGCCAACGTTAGGGTAGACGAGGACGAGAATGAAGACGATGAAAATGATGATGAAGATGATGCTGTAGTAGAAGATGGCGCTGATGCCAACAATGGTGCTCAAGGTATTATGGGTATATCAGCGGTCTGGCCTAGGGGTTTGTGACTTTTTGAATTAATTTGGTGCAAAACATTTCTCTCCCAAGTCAAAGAAGAATAGTTTATATGGGTAACAGATCAGTCAAAAGGCAGACATATAAATCCGTTCATATGATCGGTGTCTTTCTAAAAACTGTGACGACTACAAGTGCCTGCTTTTGCATGCCATTCGCCCAACTGTGGACAGTAGTTTTGTTGCCTTCTGTATCTTGCCCAATGCCAATGTTTCTATATACCCAAATGCCACATTAGAATCACAAGTGGGGATGAACAAGTACTTTGATTAAGTTCTTTATCCTTTCTCAAACGTTCATTCTGTCCCCCTTTCCAAAATGCCCCAGTGGTTTGTTGTCAATGTTTATGCGAAGTTCCAAACTGACTCCAGGCCCACGGCAATCTTCACTGCCTTGTGAAATGGCCAAGTTTGCCACGCCGCTGTATCTAACAGCTTAAGCCTCAAAAAAGAACAGATCAACTGTCATTGAAATCACAATGTCAGACTCTATTCTTTCGACTAATATCTGGGTTTAGTACCAAAATTGGAAGGATTGTCTCAGACTAGTCAAGCAGCAGCCTGACAACCATACTCTCAGAATTGTACTGTACAAAAAATGTCTCAGACTTTGCCATCACCTTTTCTGAGTATGTTGTGTCCCACCAGCAGGATAGGCTCATCAAGGGTGGTGCTGCAGTGTTCAGGAGAGATTTATCCTGGGAGTCCTCAGCATTGATTCTGAACCCCATGACATCTTGAGGCATCAGGTCAAATATGGGAACGGAAACGACTTGCTGATAAGCACATACTGTGCCCTTCCGCTGATGAATCAGTATTGTACATAGAGCATCACACGGAGGAAACAGTGTTGCAAGGGCACAATGTCCTCTGGGTTGGGAATTCAATGCCTTTCAGTATCTCAGCAGGACCACTACTGACCCAGCTGACCAAATCCTAAAGAGCACTGTTGCTAGATTGGGTCTGTGGCAGGTGGTGAAGCAAACAACAAGAAAGAAGAGCGTACTCAGTCTCATCCTCCCCAGTCTGCCTGCTGCAAATGCATCTGTGTCCATTACAGTACTAAGAGCAACCAGTGCATGGTCTTTGTCTCCACAAAGTCCCTTTTTTACATTCAGGATGCCGTCGATGTTGTTGTGTTAAACTAACGTGCTAAATGGGATAGATTTGGAACAGGTTTAGCAGCACTGGGCCGTCAGCAGCAGCAGAATTCTACTTTTAACACATTCTGCAACTTCATCGTTTGGTATATACTGTCAAGAGTGCGAACAATCCTGGCTCAATGGAGAGTGCAGGAGGGCATATCAAGAACAGCACCAAGCAGTCTGAAAATGAGGTGTCAATCTGGTGAAGCTGCAACATATGACTACATCACAAATGGCAGAAGCAACAAAAGATAGATCTAAGTGATGCCTCAATAAATGGATCATATCTAAACTCTGCAGTCCTGCCATATCCAGTTGTGGTGGTGAACAATTAAACAATTCAAGAGAAGAAGCTTCCCCACAAATATCCCCATCCTCAATGATAGAGCCCAGCACATCAGTGTACATGACAAAGCTGAAGCATTTGCAGTAGTCTTCAATGGAAAGACTAAGTGTACGATCCATCTCGGTCTTGGATCCACGGTATCACAGACACCAGACTTCAGCAAATTAATTCATTTTACAAGGTATTAAGAAAGGGCTGGAGACATTTGATACTGTGAAGGATATGGGCCCTGACAACATTCTGGTGATTGAAGACATGCATTGCAGACATTGCCACACCCTTAGCTAAGTTGTTCCAGTACAGCTAAAAGACTGTTTACCCAACCTAGTGAAAAATTATCCCGGTATGCCATTTACAATTGAGCAGGTCAAATCCAACTGGTTAAATAGCACCCATTATTTTACTCTAAGTCATCAGTAAAGTGATGGAAGAGGGCATCAGTAGTGTAAGGGCACACATTTTCTCTTTTGGGACTATATATGAAATGGAAGTTGAACAGCTCTGACTTAAAATCCCAGGAAGATTTTGCAGTTTGAAAATCATGTTGTATACTGTTGAGCCATGCAATAAAATGTTTTTTAGAAGCTGGCAGAAGGAGAATTTGAGCTTGAAGAGCACAGAATATTTCAAGTTAAGGAAATTCTGCCTGACAACTGCCCTCTGATTCATTGTGCTACAGAGTATTCAGAAGCTGTATGTGACCCGAGTAGTGCAGAATGAAACAACCATACACAGTCTGTAGACAAAAAGCATCTGTCTCTCTTTCAGTCTACTTGGGGACAAAACGGCAGAAAAACAGGAAGCTGAAAGAAAAAATTGTACAAGACCTAAATTCTCCTGATCAACCATTTGAGTCAAAGATCAGCCATTGTTCTTCAGACAACAATGCATAATCATTGCAAAAACTAAAAGGAGTCTGAGAAATATAACATTCCACCTTGTCGTATGAGCTTCTGATCTTTGGAATTTTGTTTACCGTGTTCATTTTCCACTTGAATATGTTAAACTGCTTTGTCTTTTGACTATAGGATTGTGTTTATCTGGGGTTTCACAGGAGTATAGTTTAAGTTGCACAAGATTAGAAATCTTTTTTGTTTTCTGCTCCTATTAAAATTGTATTGCAGTAAACAACTACGTTTTGCTAATGATGCAACCTGATGTTGACCCGCGTAGAAGTCAGTCAGGCAAATGAGGAGGCATTGTATGGTGGTAATGTCACTGGGCGAATAATTCAAAATCACAGTTCTTGGTCGTGGGTTTCAATTCTCCCATGGCATATGAATTCAATTAAAACAACATCTAGAATTGAAATCTCGTCTCATGGTGACTGTATAACTTTTGCCAACTGTTGTAAATACCTGTCTGGTCCATTAATGTCCTTTTAGGGAAGGAAATCTGCCATCCTGGCCTAGCGTAGACTGCTTGAGTCCAGACCCACAGCAGTGTAGTTGACTCTAAATTGCTCTCTGAAATTTGCAAGCAAGTAACTCGATTCAAGGGCAACGAGGATAAGTGGTAAATACTTGCCTAGCCAGTACAGCCTACATCACAAGAACGAATAAAATTTAAATTGGTCATTTTTGTCTCATTGAGCTTTATACATTTTTACATTTTGTGACAGCTTGTGGAACAGTGGGGCATGATTATTGGCACTCTTCACAAGTCATGACAGCACCTCTGTGAAACAGCACTTGCTTAGCAGTCATCTGCTTACTGATGCTCACTTTGGCTTGCGCCAGGGCCAGTCAGCTTCTGACCTTATTAAAACCTTTGTTCAAACATGGACAAAAGTACTGAATTCCAGAGTAGAGTGCCTGTTACTGGCCTTGATATTAAGGCCACATTCCACAGTGGCACAAAGGAGCCCAAGCAAAACTAGAGACGGGGAATTTGGGAAAACTCTCTACCTTCAGTCATATCTGTAACAAAAGCAAATCATTGTGGTTGCTGGACATCTCTGTAGAGGTTTCTCAGGGTAGTGCCCTCGCCCAACTGTCTACACCATCATTGTCCAACTCCTTTAGGTACTGAAACAGTTAATGTCCACGTGCATAAAGAACAAGGCAGTATCCAGACTTGCATTAACAAGTGCCAGGTAAATAACTTTTTCAATAAAAGAATTGAACCATCGTCCCTTGACATTCAAAGACATTACCATTGCAAAATTCCCACGGCAGGGGTTACCATTGACCAGAAGCTGAATTGGTCAAATGTCATAGCCAAGAGTGTGATGCATGACCATTGCCATCTAGAAAATAAAGAGCATCGGATACACCACCAATTATAAGTTTGCCTTCAAATCTCTCAAAATCCTGACTTGGAAACTTAATGTTGACCCAACGACTGTGAAGAAACAAACTCCTCAAATTCCTTCCCTAAACAGTGTGACTATCCACACCAAATGGATTGGAGTGGTTCAAGAAGGCTCAGTACCATCACCTCTAGGGCAACTAGAGATGGGCACTAAATGTTAATCCGGTTAGTCGAGCCTGCTTCCCCCAGATGGAAAAAAAAAAGTTAACCAGCTTTCAGCCAGTCCTGCCTTCTGGAGTTATTGTGAATCATCTTGAAATTCTCTCAGCTTATTTCCATGTACTGAATCTCATTACACTACATTTATTTGCTTGAAATTATACACCGCACTTTCCAAGGCCAGTCGTCCAATCTGAATCTTTCTACAATTGATCGGCTTGTACTTTGTTGCTTACAATCTCGTTAGCACAGCTGTATAATCAAACCTGATCAACTTTGTTTCTATTCTTCCATGAAACATGTTGATTGGAATTGTCGATGCACTCTGAATCACCAACTAATAGTCTTGGTTTTGTTTGAGTTGACTTTTGATCAGCTTCAGCAATTACTTTTGCCCCCACCTCTTCCCACCATGGCAACTTCCCAACCCTTTTCTCCATATCATTATTAATGACAAATCTCTTGTCAAAGCAGTTGGTAGATGGCTTCAGTGCTGAAGGAGATCACTGTACAAATGAGCTAAGTTCAAGATACTGGCAATAAATGATTTAAAGCTCTTTTTCTGTCTTCAGATGATATGAACTGGAACGCACTGGAATGGGACAGAGCTGCAGAAGAGCTTACGTGGGAACGGGTATGTGATCAGTGTCTACTTCAGTTTTTTTGCTGTGAAGATTTTTCAAGTTAAAGCTGACTTTCATCAGTGCTTTTAAAAACAAATGCAATAAAGTTAAAATAAACCATTGCTTTCACAGTAAGGGTAGGTGGCAAGGATATTTTTTCATTTAAAAATGCAACTTTCCCTTGACCTCCCCACCTAGTATAGAAAACCCAGTTAGTTCTGAATCATGAAGTTCATTGAAGCACTTGGGTTGTTTTTCAGGCCTGGGAAGGTTGCAGTACCTACTTATAGTGACGAGCATCTGAAGGTGGACCTGTAGTATACGTTCGCCAGATCTGCAGAAGGGTAGTCATTCTTTATGAACATTTGGAAGTTCTCCTCCAAAGTAGAAGAATTTTATTTGAAAGAGCTAGTTGACTGTACTGATTCAAACAGGCCGATTCTTATCAGGTCATCTTTCCGTATATACCCATGCACAGGGTTGTACTGCAATATAAAATCTGTTAGAGGTGATTCATGCACTTCTGTTCTGAATGTTTTAGATCGCATTGCTCCTCATATGACTGCACCGTCCCGTAGTTGACTGTAGTGTGATACTGTATTCTACTTTTTTGTTTGTTGGCAAACTGTCTTGGTGATGAAAGATGTTCAGAGCCTTTAAATTGACTCATAGCATGAATTTTCAGATGTTCAGGATATGTAAATCAAGATTAATTGATAGATATCATTGGTTTACTGTGGTTAGACATGACTAATCTCTTATAAGAAGTCTTGCTCACATTGTGAGGTTCTGTGAAGGGGAAAGTGGGCCAAGGATGTTTAACTGCTCAATAAAATGGATTGGTCAGGGCTTTGGTGTAACTCGAGCTGAAGTAAAATTAACTTGGGATGCAGTATGAACATCATATGTAGCTGAAATGTCTGTGTATGGAGCCAAGTTAATGAGAATGCAACTGTGTTGCAATGAAGTGTAGTTTATTTATACATTGGGAAGGAAGTTATAAGGCGCTCTGGTGAGCGGAAGTTTGGAATAGCTGTAACTTGTTTGGAGTAATAGTTTTTAAGTAATCCTAATTATCCATTTTTCTTATAAGTACCTTGATGGTTGCAGGTGAGTGTAATGGGGGCTGAGAGCTGAGGTGCTCCATGATGACATTTGAGCAGCAGTCTGCAATTGTAGGAAATGTTTTGAATGAACTATGTTATAATTGTTTATTTTGTTAGTATTATGAAGTTTATCATTGATTATGTTGCCACATTTAGCCATCACTAATGTGGCTAACTGTCAACACCAAGTCATCGCAGCACAAACCAAGGCTATTCAGTCCATCAAGTGTGTGCTGTTTTCTTGAAGATGCTATGACATTTTAAAATGAATATTGCAATTTGAATAAGGTCTTGTATGCTATTTAATTTGAAGTTGCTTAATTCAAATTACTGATCAATTAATGGTGTTGTTTTGTGCTGCATAAATGCACTTTGTTAATTTGAATTATTGGTAAATTCAAAATAAAGTTTACGTGAGTGGTTAAAATAAATTTGAATAATCAAGAGTAGTTGTGATTAAAATGTGTGCTGTTTAAATTCATTCATTTTTGTTTCATAGATGCTAGGGTTGGATGGTTCGCTTGTATTCCTGGTGAGTTTTAAAGGCGGTGCCAGTATTTCAAATAAAAGTCATCTGTATGCATTCAAAACTGGAAGAGAACACTGCATTTGATGTACAGGAAGTTTGTTTTATTAATCAGCATCTATGGGACCAAGCGTGCACCAATTGATTAAGTATTCTGGATCAAGAGGTCCATGTAATTAATGTAAAAAGACACACCAGCAATAGAACTGTAATGCAGGGAGTATACACATCACTGTTATACTTTATTTACAGCATAAATCACTTAAATTAATAATTTAAGTAAAATTTACTGACAGAGAGTCTTCTCAGTCTCTCCATTAATTGACTACTCAAACATTGCGGAGATTGTGATGATACAATAAACTTCTGGTATTTCAGGGATATTATTTTTGCTGGTTTATCAAGAGCACTGATTCATTAGGTGCTAGTCAAAACAAAATTTGCTGTATTTGTTAATGCTGTTAACCCATTTACAACCTATATACATATACACAAGAATTTGTTTTGTGCTTATAGGAATTTATGGCTTGTGGTTAAAACTGAACATTTCTTAAGCTTAGCTGGCTTAAAGCTATTTAGTAGTTATTTTATACAAAGCTAGCCTGGTCAGAAGAGGGTCAATGAAGAACATGGCCCCATTCATCAGAAAAAAAGTCCATTTAGGCCTGTAAGTATTAACTCGATAATAAACTTTACTGTTTAAATGTGATAGCTTAAACAGAGAGAGTTTAAAGATCAGGCTTTTTAAAAGCTCTTTTGGGAGTAAAGCTGTCATTCTTTTAATTCTAACCAACATCTGTGTATTTTTCTGACAGGAGCATGTTTTCTGGGTGGTTTCATTAAATACACTATTTATTCTTGTGTTTGGTAAGTGCCCCTTGATCTAGAGTTCTTGTATCTAATTAAAAAATCTTGAATTTCAAGTTGAGAATGGAGTTTGTTTTATGTACACGTCCACCCATGGGATTGCAGTAGTGGTACTGGTGGCACCCTAGAACATTTCCCCGATTAATAGTCCAGGCAAAAAGTACAAAAGTATTAACTTATGGATTTCTATTACATTCTCAAAAACTGAATCATTGATTCAAAATACGATCCTGGAAGGGATGCCGTCAGCTTTCCTTTGTACTAATGCATTGTTCTAAAGTATTGGAAAAAATTTCAGTTCCAAAAGCGTGTAAATAGTTGGCCAAAGAGTTGCCAGTGCTTTGTGCTGTGTTTTAAGCTGAAACTGTTCTTGGGATACGTGTTTATGGTCCTGAATACATTCAAAGGGCATTATTACCCTAATTATCATGAACATCTTCCAAAATAATGTCGTCAAACAAGGATGAGCAGTAACACTGTTGATGTCACAGCATACGTTGAAAATTAAATTTTTAGAATTAGTCATGTTTACTGGACAATGAGAAACCCACATTGAATTGAGTAATGCTGCGGTAAAAATGTTTTAATTTTGAAAGTATTGAATAAGCTATTTGACATACTGAATGATTGGAGAGTCCTCGTGACAGATTATAGCTTAAGTTTGCCTGACCATCTGTCCTCAGATTGGATTGATTACGAACCTTTTCAGCATAGATATCTTGAGAGATAAGACAGTTATTAAAGAACCATGAACATATACATTGGAGGTATTTTGGCTTGGAGTCCACCAAAACTCTTAAAACAGGAATTAAATAACAAATGAATGCTAAAATAACTTGTCTTTTTTTCTTGCCCAGTTTTAGTGTCTCCTCCACAGAGAGTGCACTTGTGTGCTACAGGCTTTCTTTTGTATTTTTCTTGTGATTAATGATTTTCTACTGCTCTAACTATAAGGCCAACACAACTAAATTTTATTTCATCCTCTCCCAAATTTGTTATCAAGGGGGTTTGCTGCACAACAATTAGGAAGCTAGATTCCTGGTACATTGTTTCTGCTCCATTATAGAAAGTGTGCGGAGAGCAATTATCTCATGGCCTATGCCTTGATTGAAATCATCTTATTCAACGCAAGTTGAGAATACAGCATTAAACCTTTCTGGTCTGTGTTACCCAGCTAATTGTGTGAACAACCAAAGGTCAGGGTGTATAATGGTACCAGTGACTTTGATAGGGTGGGAGATGTGGTTCTGCAATCAGAAGTGAAGGAGCTAAGTAGAAAGTAAACAAGCAGGATCTCAAATGTAGTAATCGGTAGATTACACTGTCACATGCAAGTGAATACAGGACGACAAGAATAAGGAAGGTGAACATGTGGCTGGACGACTGGTGCAGAAGATAGATCTTTAGATTCCTGGGACACTGGTTCTAGCTTTGGGGAAACAATGGCGCCTATACAAACTGAATTGGTTGCCCTGAGCAGAGCTGACCTGAGTTTCTTATGGGCCATTTTGCTAGTGTTGTCACAAAGTCTTAAACTAACTTAACATGAATGTGGGGAGAAAAGAAAGAATATTAGAGGATTACTGGAATGCACATAACACTCGGAGAGACAGATAGCACCAGTATAGAGAACAGAAAGTCAATCGGTGACATTGGAAGGGAGAAATTAATGAAGCCTGAGTCCAGGGTGCTGTTCATGTTTGTTTGTATGGTAAATAATATTGGGATGTTATAGGCATAGATTGCCGTGGGGATAGGAAAGCTAGCTCAAGAAAGGCTAGTAGTACTGGATGCTAAATATTCCTGGCCACAGTGTTCGGAAAAGGAGACCATTGCAATAATGGTGAAACTAGATATCCCAAAGGGTGTAAAGACAGAATCAATTTTGCTGGAGCTGAGGAACAAACAAGTTCAATTACCATGTTCAGTGTAGACTATAAACTGACAGCTAGCAGAAAGGATGTAGAGGATAAGGGAAATTAGATGCGCCAACATTTATAGAGGGTTACAACTGGGGATGTTAACGACCTGAATGTACCGTGGGACAGTGGTATCGGTAACAATGGAGACAGGTAAATGTTTTGGATTGTGTTCAGATAAACTTCGTACAGTAGTGTGTATCCAGTCTCCTTTAAAAAGATGCACTGCGGGACCTAGTTCTTGGAAATTGTCTGGACAAAGCTAATCAAGTATCGGTGGAGAAGCATTTAGAAAATCTGTGATCATTATCTTGTAAGATTTAGGGTGATGATAGAAAAGAACATGTTCTTAGTCTAGATTGTCTAATTAACTGTTGGAGAAGTCTACTTAAATGAGACAGAATCAGAGCTGGGCAAGATGGAGGGGAATAAAAAGTTGATGGAAAGACCTGTAAGTTGAACAGTGGAGTACCTTCAAAGGGGAGATGGTTCAGTCCAAGCATAAAAGGAGAGCAAACCAATCCAGAGCTGCCTGCATGAAAAAGGAGAAGGAAATGAAAATAAAATGATTGAGACAGTGTCAGATACATACAACTGAGAACCAAGACAAAATACAGACGTTTGGAAGGTTGTGAAAAAGCATAGAAGGATTTGTACTGCTATGCTAATACTACTTTTGTCTATACTTTGTGTGACTTACCAGAAGTAGAATTTTGTCAATATGCTGTGATTGTAATATTAGTGCTGTTGTATGTTTCAGCATTTTGTCCATACCATATTGGACACTTCTCGGTTGTTGGTTTGGGTTTTGAGGAGTATGTAAGTACTAATGATACGGTGCGTGCTCTTTGAGAAAACTTTGTATGAAATTAGTATAACTAACTATTACCAATGTCTCAGTATCGTTTGTAAATGTATTTCTATTGTGTAAATTTGTTCCTGTGATTGTAATTCTTTATATTGTATGCCGTGGTAAGTCACAATTGTGATTGACCTTCCCATTTTTAAAAAAAAGCTGCAAATTGTTGGGAATTTTTGCTTACTAAAAAGCCAAAGTATTTTGAAGAGTTTGGTGACACATCCAAGTACAGTGATGTATTTTCCACACTGCGCTTGCTATTTTGAATAGCTTTATTTAAAATAAGTATTTTTTTTTTAAAATGTACTTCAGTCTTTGAGGAGATTGTCCAAGAGGAAACTAATGACCAAATTGCCAAAGGCTGTCATTTTGACCTTTCATACCATTGAGTTAATACAAACAATGCTGCCAGTAGAAATGAACATTGAGCAGGAGCATTACATAATAATCAGTGTCACAGTGACTGTGCTCTATCGTGGGTTCAATATTCCTGCCTTCTCCCTTGCCCAATCAATCTCATTATTATTTTCCTTCTTATCCCAGATACCTTTCATACCTACTAGTATCCCAGTTAACATTAGCTACCTGGGCACAAACCAGAGATTTAACTTGGACTTCCCTCCCCTGTGTTGTTCACTGCATTCTGCTATCATGAGTACTGTATTTCTGAAAACACAGAACTGAAAAGATCTGATTTATAATCTGTTTTATAAGTGGTTGTGTTTGGCTCATTCTTGAATTACTACATTGTTGCATTTTCCTAACGTCATAAATTTATACAAGTATTTCCACTATATTTTGAGTGAATTGAGTGTTATGTTAATTATTGTTAATTGAGTAAGAAATGATTGAAATAAGTTGATGCTCTGATGAATGGTAATGCCACAATTACAGAACTGTAATGAATCTTAACAATCTATTCTTAGACTTAGAATTAAAGACAGATGTTTTCTTATGTAAAGACAATGATCATCAACAAAAGATCCTATGATTTTTGATCTTTTAGTAATTTTTATTGAGCACTGTACCAATTTGGCATTCTTTTTTCAGGTTCAAGCTTCGCATTTTGAAGGCTTGATAACAACTATAGTGGGCTACGTACTCTTGGCTATGACTCTGATAATCTGTCACGTATCCTTTTTATTATTTAAGAGAATTGGTTTGTGAACTCCCAAGTAATAATGCTGTCTTCATAACTAGATGGTAACAGTTCAAGAACTCGAAGTCTGATATCATCCAGTACAAAGTACCCTGTTTGATTGGCAGCCCATCACTTCCTCAACCGCCGTCACTCAGTAGCAACGGTGTGTGCCTCTACAAGATGCACTGTAGAAATTCACCAACGCTGCTCACACAGAACCTTCCAAACCCATGAACTTTTCCACCATTTAGAAGGACAAGGGCAGTAGATCCATGGGAATACCACCACCTGCAAGTTCCCCTCCAAGCCATTCACCATCCTGACATGAAATATATTGCTGATCCTGCAGTGTTACTTGGTGAATGTGCTGGAGCTCCCTCACTAACTGCATTGTGTCCACCTACAGTACATGGAATTTAGCAGTTCAGGAAGGCAGCTCACTGTCATCTTTTCAAGGGCCACTAGGGATGGTCAATAAACGCTGGCCAGGCCAGCAACACTCACCCTATGAGCGAATAAACAAAATATGGAGTGTTATACGCCAGTTAATGCTGCAGTGAACTTTACCAACTGTACTGGACTAACAGATTGAACCCTTCAGAAAAGCCTTTAAAGCAGTGATGGTTCAGATCTTTCAAGTTGTGCAAATGTAGTGGAATTACTCTAGTAGTCTGGTCTTTACCTTCATGCATCAGGGTAGAACCAGGTTAGGTCAGGGTACAATGTCCTCTGCCCTCCCTGCACTGCTTTAAAGACAGCCCCGTAATCAGTAAGGATGGGTATGCAGGCATTCCAGATGGATGCCTAAACTTGGCTTAGTTCCCTTGCAAAAATAGAGGCCTTGTTTATGGCTGCCTTGCAAAATTGGTCATTGACCAGCAGTCGCCTAGTCTGTAATGCTTGGGGTTGTTCAATCTTTAGCGCCACCTGCAGAATTCAGCACACTATTAAACAAAAATATAATTATTGCAGAACCAAAATGAATAAGAGTACTCTTGACTACACAGCATTCAGGATTGCCACCCTCTGATATTGGTTGTTTACATAAGGCAGTATTTTGTTGCTTTTGTTTAACTTAACTGTGCACAGGGTTTGGCTGCGCTGGTGAAGTTCCAACGATCTCGACGTTTATTGGGCGTTTGTTATATTGTTGTGAAGGTATTGTTGTATTGTTATGACTATCAATGTGTTTTGTCTTGGGTCTTTTTTTGCATGCTGGTAAATAAATCTCAGCCATAAATTTTAACCTCAAAATTACTGTCTCCTCTTATGATTCTATGTTTGTAATTTTTTTTGGAGGTTTCAAAAACAGCTTTTTATTGAAACTCCACAATGAAAAGATTTGGACAAAATACAACAAAGTGCTGAAGATGCCCAGTAGGTTTGTCAGAATCTGTGGAGAGAGAAATGGTATTTTGGGTTGACCTTTCGTTAGCACTGGGGGGGAAAAAAAAATGTCTTTGGTTGTAAACAAGTGAACGGAGAGATTGGAGAAAAAGAATAAAAAGTCTGGATAGGCTGGAAAGCCGGAAAGACTGATTAACAAGGGTTGATAGTGCAAGGCCAAAGGAGAGATGCTGTAACATGTAAAGAAACAAAAGATGGGTCTAGAGGAGCTGTAAATGACCAAATGATGAACAGCTGTTGTTTGACAGCAAAAATAAACACAACTAGCAAAAGCAAAGCCAAAGCCAAGAAGGAATAGTTGGCAAAAGTTATGGTCAAAAATTGTTGAACTGTGTTGAGGCTAGTAGGCTGCAAAGTGCCTAAACAAATGAGGAGGTGCTGTTCTTCAAGCGAGCATTGTGCTTCATTGGAACACCTCAAGAATCTGAATTCGGAGAGCTGAGAGCTTTCCATACTATTACAGGCACTTGTTTGTGCTTTTCCTTTCAATTGCTTTAAAATGTTTTACATCTGTAAATGCTAATGAAAGATCATCAAACTAAAATGTTAATTGTTCTGAAATATGACTCAACTTGCTGAACATTTCCATCATTTCTGCTTTTATTTCCATTTCCGCTGTTGATTTATTTTGCTTTTTGGCTTCTGGTACAAAATATATTCTCATTGAATTTGCTTTTGTTATTGGTAATTAATTGACTCCAGTGAAATCTAGTATGTTCTACTTTGTCGGTGGGTAGTCAGGCAGTGGGGTCTTTTGGAGGAGCAGGGTGTCATTGGAGAGGTCAATTCTGTAATTACTCGGATTTTACACGAGGTTTCAATTTGTTTTGAGCATTCTTCAAGTAACTACCTAGGTAGGTACAGCTGAACTGTGGCAAGTCTCCAATTTTGACTGAGACTGAGATGGTCACAGATGATCTTAGGGAATGGGAGAGATTGTCCATCAAACATTGAAACTTTTGGTGGATCCATTCATCAGGACATCCACAGATTTCCCAAAACCTATCTTAAGATATATGTCCAGTTTCTGACAATCTGGAGACCAGACAATTTAGCCCTAATTTCCTTGCCCATGTAGAAATACACTAGGAATTCTTTCATTGCTTTTATGCATAGCTTGACTGAGTTCAGAAATTCGACTGATTTTGGTTTCAAGTTTGCTTTTTTCATTCCTGGCACTGTATTTGGCTACCTGAATGCACCTCAGTTATAGAATCATAGGGATGTAGAGCATGGAAACAGACTTTTCGGTGCAACTCATCTATGCTGACCAGATATCCTAAGTTTATCTAGGCCCATTTGCCAGCATTTGACCCATATCCCTCTAAACCCTTCGTATTCATATACCCATCCAGATTTAGATGGATGGCTTTTAAATGTTGTAATTGTATCAGCCTCCACCACTTCCTCTGGCAGCTCATTTCCTTCAAACACCACCCTCTGCATGAAAAAGCTGCCCCTTAGGTCCCTTTTAAATCTTTCCCGTCTCGCCTTAAACCAGTGCCCTCTAGTTTTAGACTCCCCCACCCTGGTGAAAAGACCTTGTCTATTTAACCTATCAATGCTCCTCATGGTTTTACAAACCTCTGAAAAGGTCACTCCTCAGCCTTTGACAGTCCAGGGAAAATAGCCGCAGCCTATTCAGCCTCTCCCGATAGCTCAAACCTTCAACCCTGGCAACGTTCTTGTAAATCTTTCCTGAACCCTTTCAAGTTTCACAACATCCTTCCCTTAGCAGGGAGACCAGAATTGAATGCAGTATTGCAAAAGTGGCCAAACCAAAGTCCTGTAAAGCCACAACATGACCTCCCAACTCCTGTACTCTATGCACTTGTCATTAAAGACAAGCAAACCAAATGCCTTCTTCACTGTCCTATCTACCTGTGACCCTACTTTCAAGGAACTGTGAACTTGCACTGCAAAGTCTCTTGTTCAGCAACACTCTCCAGGACCTTCCCATTAAGTGTATAAAGTCCTGCCCTGATTTGCCTTTCCAAAATGCAGCATCTCTCATTTATCTAAATTAAACTTCAACTGCCACTCTTCAGTGCATTGGCCCATCTGATCAAGATCCCGTTATACTCTGAGGTAACCTCCTTCGCTATCCACTACACCTCCAATTTTGTTGTCACCTCCAAACTTACTAACCATACCTCCCATATTCACATCCAAACCATTTATATAAGTGACAAAAAGCAGTGGACCCAGCACCAGTCCTTGTGCCACACTGCTGGTCACTGGCCTCCAGTCTGAAAAGCAGTCCTCCACCGCTACCCTCTGTCATCTACCTGTGAGCCAGTTCTGTATCCAAATGGCTAGTTCTCCCTGTATTCCATGTGATCTAACCTTGCTAACCAGTTTACCGTGAGGAACTTCGTCGAAGGCCTTACTGAAGTCTATATAGATCACGTGTGCCTCATTTCCCTCATTAATCTTGTGCGTTACTTCAAAAACTCACTAAATTGTTGACGCACCACTTCCTATTGCACAAAGCATGTTGACTATCCTTAGTCAGTCCTTGCCTTTTCAAATACAAGTAAATTCTGTTCCTTGGGATTCCCTCCAACTACTTGCTCACCACTGGTGTCAGGCTCACCGGTCTGTAGTTCCCTGGCTTTTCCTTGCCACTTTTTAAAAATAGTGATGCCACATTAGCCAACCCTCCAGTCTTCTGGTCCCTCATTGTATCTATTGATGCAAATATTTCAGCAAGGGGCCCAGCCATCACTTCCCTAGCTTCCCACAGAGTTCAAGTTCCCAGGGATTTATCCACCTTTATGCATTTTAAGACATCCAGCATTACCACCTCTGTAATGTGGACAGTTTTCAAAATGTCACTATTTATTTCCCCACATTCTATATCTTCCATATCCTTCTCCATAGTAAACGCTGATGCAAAATACTCATGTAGTATCTTCCCCCATCTCCTGCGGTTCCACACATAGGTGGCCTTCCTGATCTTTAAGGGGCCCAATTCTTTGCCTGAATACCCTTTTGTCCTTAATGTATTCATAGGATCCCTTTGGATTCACCTTAACCCTATTTGCCAAAGCTATCTCATCTCCCCTTTTTGCCTTCCTGATTTCCCTCTTAAGTATACTGCTACAGCCTTTATTCTCTTCTAGGGAATCACTCGTTCTGTGATGTCTATCCTGACACACATTTCCTTCTTTTCTTGACCAAAACCTCAATTTTTCTAGTCATCCCACATTCCCTACACTTGCCAGCCTTGCCCTTCACCCTAACAAGAACATACTGTCTCCGGACTCTTGTTATCTCATTTTTGAAAGCTTCCCATTTTCCAGCATTCTCTTCACCGACAAACATCCACCCCCAATCAACTTTTGTAAGTTCTTACCTAATACTGTCCAAATTGGCCTTCCTCCAATTTAGAACAATGTAGATTTAGTCTATCCTTTTCCATCACAATTTCAAAACTAATAGAATTGTGGTCACTGGCCCCAAAGTACTCCCCTGCTGACATCTGTCACCTGTCCTGCCTTATTTCCCAAGCATAGGTCACATTTTGCAGCTTCTGTAGTAGGTACATCCACATACTGAATCAGAAATTTTTCTTGTACACGCTTAACAAATTCCCCTCCATCCAAGCCCTTAACACTGTAGCAATCCGAGTCTATAGAAAGTTAAAATCCTCTACCATAGCCACCGTATTAGTCTCACAGATACCCGAGATCTCCTTTAAAAATTTGTTTCTCAATTTCCCACTGCCTATGGGGGGCTATAGTACAATCCCAATAAGGTGATCATCCCTTTCTTATTTTTCAGTTCCACCCAAGTAACTTATCTGGACATTCTCCCAGGAATATCCTCCCTAAGCATCCCTGATCAAAAACACCATTCCCCCTCCTATCATGCCCACCTTTCTATCCTTCCTATAGCATCTATACCTGAACATTAAGCTGCCAGTCCTGTCCATCCCTGAGCCATGTCTCTGCAATTGCTAAGATATCCCAATCCCATGTTCCCAACCATGCGTTGAGTTCATCTGCCTTACCTGTTAGGCCTTTTGCATTGAAATAAATAAAGTTCGACCTTGCTCTCTGCTTTGTTCCTGCCTGCTCAGACTGTTTGACTTGCTCCTTTTCCCAGCTATACCAGTCTCAGACTGACCTTTTACCTCACTATCTCCCTGGGTCCCTCAGTCCTTATTATTTTAAATCCTCCTGAACAGCTCGAGCAAATCTCCCCGCTAGTATATTAGTCCCCTTCCAATTCAGGTGCAATCCACCCTTCTTATACAGGTCACTTCTACCCCTGAAGATATTCCAATGATCCAAAAGTGTGAATTGTTCTCCCCTCCACTAGCTCCTCAGCCACGCATTCATCTGCTCTATCCTGCTATTCTTACCATCACTAGCTTGTGGCACCGGGAGTAATCCAGATATTCCTACTCTCGAGGACCTCATTTTTAAATTCCTACCTAACTTTCTATGTTCTGTCCTCAGAATCTCATCGGTTTCTCTTCCTGTGTCGTTAGTTGTAATGTGTACAACGACTTCCTGCTGCTCCCACTCCCCCTTGAGAATATTCTGCACCCTCTCAGAGATACCTTGATCCTGGCAGCAGGGAGGCAACACACCATTCTGATGTCTCGTTGTCGACCGCAGAAACATCTGTCTGTGCCTCTGACTAGAGAGTCCCCTGTCACAATCGATTGCTTGGAACCTGTCATACACCTTGTTGCATTAGAGCCAGTCTCGGTATAGGAAACCTAGCTGTCAGTGCTACATTCCCCTGAGAGTCCATCATCCGCTACATTTTCCAAAACAGCATACTTGTTTGAGATGGGGATGGCCACAGGAGACTCCTGCACAACCTGCCTCTGTCTCCCATGTTTCCTAGAGGTCACCCATCTACCTGACTGTGTCTTCAGTTTAGTTCCTTTCCTGCAACTGTCATCCATCACATGTCCTAGCCCCTGTGAATTCCTCAATGCCATTAACTGTCATTTCAACCAATCCATGTGATCCGATAGGATTCGCAACCAAACACACTTCGTCCAAACACAATCATCAGCAGCATAGAAACTCTCCTTAATCTCCCACATCCAACAGGAAGAGCACATCACTTTACTAAAGGCCCTCTTTGCACCTTAACAATCTGCAGAACCAAAAAATAGCACAGTCTTACTGCTGCAAAAAAAAGACATTGCTCCAGGATAACTTTGTCCCTATGCTTTACATGTTTAAAGTTTAATAAAGAGAAAGATCTCAATAAAGCATATTAACAAAAAATAACCCACTCTACTCACTTGTAGATTTACCAAAAAATAGTAAGGTTATACTTTTTAAAACAAAAAGCACACTTAGCTGCTTCCCTGCTGTGAGCTCTCAAAGTCAGCCGTGAATTTCACTGTTTGTTAACTTTTCTTAGATGAAGTCCAATGTGCATAGATGCTTGAAATCAAATAGTAGAACAGATAGCTGTGTAGATTCAGCAGTGCAGGTTTATTTCTGTTCATTCAGTTCCCATGTGGTCACTGCCTTTGTCTGTCTTCCTCCTTTTTAAAGTGTCATTTTGATTTTTTCCCTCCAAGTTCCAAAACAATGTAACAGCTTATGGAACTAACTACTGCTCCTAGAATTCAAGGAACTCAGCTGCAACACTGAAAACACCTCGAAAAAGGAGCAGCTCCTAGAAAGCAGCTCTCCTGTCCTCCATCTTGGATTACCCACAGTTGCAGCAAAATGAGTTAAAATTAATAAGAAAATTTGATCAAGTGTGCAATATAGAATTGTCTAATGTCTTGATGGAGATTGTGTTTAACCAATTATCTGAGTCTTTTTGTAGTATACATAACATCAAGGTCTACTTTTTTTTAAAAATTTAGGTGTCCTTACTGGTAGTTGTGGAAATTGGTGTTTTCCCCCTGATATGCGGCTGGTGGCTTGACATCTGTTCACTAGTAAGTCGCTTCTGCCCTCAGGAGCTTTATCAGTGATTCATTGGGACTTTGATCAAACTTTCATCCTGTATTTAAAAAAAGTGATTTAGTCATTTTTGTTTTTGATTTACTTGTCGTACATGCTCATTTTCAAATACCATTGTAACCTCACCCATTCCTGTATCCATAACGTATTCCAGGTTCCACAATATTCCAACATTTCTACACTATACCAGACTGGTATCTTGAACTCACCTGATTTTAATCTCCACCAATGCAAGGTCTCAACGGTCTTAATTATCCAGGAGCATCTTAACAGAAATTTAGCACTGTTACTCTTAAGTAACAGGCACTTTGGCCATTCCATTTGTCCATATGTTTCTCTGATGGTGATTGACCATTTCTCTACCCCACCAGCTCTTAAATTGAATCCAGCTGGGTTAATCTGAGTGAAGAGCATTTTAACCAGTTGACCACCTCCAGGAGCTGCTCAATATGCTCAAAATCAGCTAATAACACTGGGGAGGCGAGATTTCCAAGGATCGTTTAAGTTGAGGCTCATGTTCATAATTTTCTTGTTCCGTTCTTTTTTTGTTCCATTTATTTTTTTTTTGTATTGGGGTAATACTTTTGACAAGATTAACTGTTTGAAACTCTGTGAACCCATCTTTAAAATGCCTGCTTCAAAAGATGACATGGACTGAATGGTTGACCTAGCTTAGAGCCCGTAAGAGAGATCAGGTCTGTGATTATTTATGTTCTCCTGTACTTCTCTAGTGCATTGTAGAAAGAATTAAGATATAACTTAATCATTTTCAGGAAGCCTCAGTATTTTTTCGGAGGGGTAGCACACTATTTTCTGGATTCTTCTGCAAGACTGTTCTGACTCTGTACAAGGTCTTTTGTTGAATCCAGTCCTCCTCGATGTGCGTATCTCATGACGCTTGTCATATAAATGAACAGCTGTAAACAGCTACTTTCTTTTGCTTGATCTCTGATATGTAATTGAATAATACTCATGACCATTTTTCCTCAGTATATCTGAGAATAGTGTAAATGCACAAATGTATAATTTAACCTGATTCTGTTACACTTGCATGAATCATGTTGCTAATCCAGGAAAAAATATATCTGCTGTTAACAAAAATTAAGGTCTTTGCAGACTACAGAAAACCAGAAGTAAGATTTCATAATTTCATTTCAGATTTGCTGAGCTAAAAGAAATCTAGCATCTGTAAGTGAAGAAGACCCACATATGTAAAAGGACTTGATAACAGTCATGTTCTTATTTCCGTCTCTTAATAGTGAAATGGATGTTGACCTTTAATTTTTTTTTGCCTGGATTAATATGTGTATTTTTAAAAACCGGGCTGTCATGAAATGCAGGTTAGTTGCAATGATCAATCTGACATCTTGCTGATTTTAATCTGCTGCAGGAAATGTTTGATGCTACTTTGAAAGACAGAGAGCTGAGTTTTCAATCTGCACCTGGAACCACAATGTTCCTCCACTGGCTGGTGGGCATGGTCTATGTGTTCTACTTCGCATCTTTCATTCTTCTACTCAGAGAGGTGGGTAGATCTTAGTTCAGCTACTGATAGACTTAAAGTTCTGCTGGGATTTCTTTAATCAAGTTATTGATTCCAACACCTGTTTTAGGAGATGTTTGAAATATAATGGCAATGCACTCAGTTCTCTGATAGGGGCCACTATCACAACTTCTCAATTCTGCCTCAGTGTTTGAGTGCCTTTCTTGTGTCTTTCTAGTGTGTTATGCTTACACCATTTGAGAACAGTTTGATTCTGCAACTTGTGTTCTCAGCCAAGTTATGGTGTGTCAAGCTTTTTTGTATCAGGCAGCTATGGCTGTATTGCAACATTCTTCTTGCCTTCGGATAAATCATGCACTGAGATTTATCCTGCTAGTTGAACAAAATCTCGTTCTTGTTTTTTGAGCTAGTCATTCATTTAAAGGTTCACTAGTGCTATTGGGCAGAGTCTAAGCTAATTTGCAAAGTGGTTGCACAATTAGAAAGCAGAAACAAAATATAAATGTGGATTAGGAGAGTTGGAGGGTACCACATTAAGAAATAGTATGGTATTTGGAGGCATCAACTAAATATAAGAAGGTGGTCCAAAACTTGAATATTGCTATAAAAAGACACTTTCTGTTTTCAAGTCATTGTAGGATAGGATTTTCAGTCAGGCTTGCGATATGCCACACTTGTGTATGTTGGAAGTGACATAGATAATGTGCAGGGCCCTGTTCTTTGCAATTAGTAGAACATGTATACATACTGCCTGCTTCAACAGAAAAAAAAAATTGTCTGGTTAATTTATTGGGGCAATGTTGTGACCAACCTGAGTCGATCTTCCCTAGTTTGAAACTTGAACAACTCTTGGTAGTTAACTATCTGTCTTCATTAACTAGTGAATTCTTCAAGATAACACATTTATTGATCAAAGCCTACTTGGGAACCAGTCAACACATTTTAAAATTATGTTCTCCTTTGGTATTGCATATGAAGTGTCATGATGAATGTAAGATGGAATGCTTTTAAATATCCAAACACCCAAATACAGGAAGGTTTAAGACCATTTCAGTGCATGTGTGAATATGCATGAATCATTGTAAATCAGGTTGGCAAATTGCTGACACAAACGTGCATGGGAAGATGCTGTGATAATGCAGACATGGGCCAAACAGAGTGTGATTGGGTACTTTACTTTCTTGAATACGAGATGTCCAGGAAAGATGCAGAAGGAAAGAAAGCAAAGTGAAACATTGGTAATATTGATTAAAGATAATGTTGCACTCTAAAGAAAGGATGTCTCCTGGAGCGGTTATTCACAATAATGTATTTGATTAAAGCTAACAAGCATTACAGGTACCGCTACACTACTGGGTGTGTTATGTTCACTTCCAGCTAGTTAAATGGATTCTGAGAAACAAATTTTCAGGGAAATTTGCATAGGTATTCAAACTGTACACAATAGTTGTTATTTTTTTAAAAATTGGCTTCTCTCAATACAGAAGAAACTTAATCGTGGAAATGCAGAGCGGGTGAAAAATTTCTGGTGTGTTCATGAGAACCTTTTGGCATGTTTCCAACCTTATGGGGAAGGAAGTATTGTTAGGGCTGGTTCTGAGCAATGAGATTGAAGCACCAGGACAGGGAACAAGACCATTAAATTATGCAGTTTAGATTGACCATTTAAAATGGGCAAGTTGTGTTTTTGTTTCAGATTTTGAGCTTTTGCAGATTTTGCTTTTTGTTTGAGTTAGTGTTTGCACTTTCAAATATGTTATTTAAAAGGATCATGCTGAATACTGTTGATACTTTGCTGTGGTATAATGGATGTGGGTAATCCAGAGTGATTAAAATTCAGAAACTTAGCTGTTCCTGAGCTGGGGAAGCCTGATCAGCCACACAGCTAAAGAAGCCACCATCTGCTAGCAGAACAATTAGATGTAATTGACAAGTTTTTTAAATTTTTCTCCTTAACTCAATTGTTTTGATGTAAAATACCTCTTGTACTGCTTTATAGATGCTCCTATGAGCAATGTTTAATGTTTTGTTTCAGGTGTTAAGACCAGGTGTCTTATGGTTTTTGAGAAATCTGAATGATCCAGATTTTAATCCAGTCCAAGAGATGATTCATCTACCTATTTATAGGCATTTCAGACGTTTTATACTATCTGTGGTAAGTGTGGTGTCCACGTTTGATTACTCTTGAAATTAAATTCTTTTATTATGAAGAGAGAATTTAACCTAAGAATGCACAATAGGAAATAGTAGCCTTGTACAATCGAATGGGCAGATATACCAGGTTAAAAAGGGACGAGCAACCTCTGGATCAGGAAGCGTTTCTGTTTGGAAACTCAGAATTTGGTTGCATTCAGGTGAGTGTGGATCCATCGAGTATACATGGTGGAATGATGTGTGAACGTTGAACTTCTAAATATTTCAATTTTTTAAAAAAATTGACATTGTAAGAGTCGATGGAGATCCACCAGGGAAATGAATGAAGCTTCTAATGCCATCGGGTGATTTTATCGTAACTGATCACTACTTTTCAACAAATGAATTGCAATCAAGCATTTTGAACGTTAGTGAAACTGAAGTGTTTTTTTTTGTACAAATACTGAATCCTTGAAAATCTCTATAAACTGACAGCTATGCTTACACAAAACTTTCACATAAATAGGTTGACAAATATCAGAAACAATCGGAGTGTAGTAATTTGAAATTATGTAAATCTTCAAAAATGTTTATTTTAGTTTTTCATGTATAATTTCATTAAGATTCTTATCTTATTCTTTGCAGATTGTCTTTGGCTCTATTGTCCTCCTTATGCTTTGGTTGCCAATTCGTATTATTAAGACTGTACTCCCTGATTTTCTACCGTACAATGTAATGCTTTACAGGTAATACCTGGTCTTATGGATACTTGCAGGCATAATAATTAGTAGCCTGTTTGCACGCTTCATTGAAAGTTCTGTGACAGCAGGGATCAGTTCTTTTGAAGGTTTCTTTTGATTTTTTGTCACTGGCTATTTTTTTGATTTTCAAGAGCTGCTTTTTCATTCTCTGATTCATTTATTTGATGATGCAGTCACAGAGTAACAATACCTTCTATATTCAGCAGTATGAAATTGGTATCTAATTGCGATCTTTGCTTTCTTGTTCACCTTCCCATTTATGATGGATTCCTGTGATCAAGACACTGCAGTGAGTTTAGAAACCGTGTTATAATCCCAGACCATACCATCAAATTTTCCTACTGATTAGGGTCCAATAATCATTATTTGTAAAGTAGAGAAAAATGATATCCAGGGGATTGAAGAGAAGGGAAAATTCTTGGCTATATGCTGATAGGAAAGATTTCTATCTTTTTGTGTTCTAATTTGCAATCTTGTTAAAACAACATGTATCAACTGTTTAGAATTGGCTTTTTTGGTTCCTCTACAGTGATGCCCCAGTCAGTGAACTGTCTCTAGAGCTTCTGCTACTGCAAGTTGTATTGCCAGCTTTACTGGAACAAGGACATACTCGGCAGTGGTTGAAGGGGCTGGTCCGAGCTTGGACAGTCTCAGCTGGATATTTGTTGTAAGTAATTCCAACATTTTGATAATAAAAAATAGGTAAGCCCTTGAATTCTACTTTAGGCCCTGTACATAACAGATTCATGCAGGCCCACATCTAAGTGTTTAGGAAAGTACGTTGTCAGCAGTAGGAAATATTTGCTGTAATTGAACAATCTAATGTAATGAGATTGTTCCCTTATGACCAATTCCTTTAAAGGGGATTTTCTAAGTGATAACACTTCGATTTCAAAGGACAAAAGGAAGCTTTTACTCGTTATCTTACAAATTAGATTAGATTTAATTGCTGTGTGATGATTGCAAAACACCAACAGCACAGTTTTGGTGCTTGCTGCTGTGCTTGTGGAAAGCTGCTCACTTTGATCTAGTGATTGCTGGCACATTTTTCTCCTTTCACAAGATCAGTCCAAATCTAGCTGCAAGTTGAGAGAATTTCTTTGCATCCAGCAACCATGTGGTTAACCAACGGGCAGCTAATAACTTTATTCATGCAGACAGCAAACCAGAATTAAAAACAGCTGTGTCCCTTTGCATTTAATTTTAAATGTTATTTGATATTCAGATCGTGGTATACATATCAGACTACGGTAGAAGTTAATTGTAAAAATGTTTTAAAAAAAACAACAGCATACTCTCGGAAGAAACATAGAATCAGCAGCAGCAATCTCTGGACTAACACACTTAACTGCGAGTATGCAGATTCTGCAGCTTTCAGTTTCAGAGGAGCAATAATAACCATGCTGTTTTGATGTAGTCTATCCAGATGTAGACTATCTGAACTTTGTTATCATTGATAGCTAGACATCTTTAAGAATAAATTCAGCAGAATGAATACTATTATCTGCAATAAGTACTGAGTAAATCAGTTTGCTGAAAAACAGGTTATATAAAACTTTAGGATGTCTCATTATTTAATATCTTGAATGCATTTTCTTCATGCTGATAGGGACCTCCATTCATACTTGCTCGGAGACCAGGAGGAAAATGAGAACAATGCCAACCAACAGGTGAACAATAACCAACAAGCGCGTAATAACAATGCCATTCCTGTAGTAGGGGAAGGACTTCACGCAGCTCACCAGGCCATACTGCAACAGGGTGGGCCCGTAGGCTTTCAACCTTATCGGAAACCTTTACAGTTTCCTCTTAGAGTAAGTGACTTCTAAAATTTCAATGCTGTTTTTTTTAAATCATTGTCAACTTTCTACCAACATAGGCATGTGTAAATTTTGTGTGTCTGTGTGTTACAAGATCATAATGCTTTAAGAGCATATTCCCTCTTTTAAAAAGGACTGATAGTATTTAGTTCGCCCCCTTGCAGGATTGTGGAGTACATTTCTACTGTAGTTTTGAAGAAGAGATACAACAATATGGGTAGAACTTGTGGATAAGAAAGGTGCAGTCACTGTGATGGGGTTGAACAACAGGCCTCCCGATAGCCAGTGGGAGATAGAGGAAAAGATATTTGAGCAAATCACGGAAAAATTGAGTGATTTTAACTTCCCCAGTATTGACTGGGGCTCCCTTAGTTCCAGGGTCTTAGATTGGGCAGAATTTGTTTGGTGCATCCAAGAGGATTTCTTGAAGCAATATGTAAATAATCCAACTAACGAAGGGCTATACCAGGCCTTGCATTGAGCAATGAGCCTGGCTAGGTGATTGAAGTAACAATGGTGTAGCATTTTAGCAACAGTGATCATAATCATAATATTAACCTTAAGTTTAAACATCGCTCTGGATAAAGGTAAGATTAGTCTTTAGATAAAAGTGCTAAATTGGCAGTATTACAATAGTATTAGGTAGGAAATGGAGAAACTGGATTGGGGGTGGCTGTTTGAGGGTCAGTCTACATATGATATGTGGAAGTCTTTTAAAGCCAGTTAATTGGAGTTTAGGATCAGCATCTTCCTGTGAGGAAGAAAGATAAGGATGGCAAAATTCAGGAACCCTGGATGATGAGTTCTTGAAAAATGAGTCGAAAAGGAAGCAGATGTAATGTTTAGGAAGCTGAAATTTAACAAGGCCTTTGAGGGAAATAAAAGAAATAGGAAAGACCTGTAAAAGAGGTCTTGAAATGTCCATGGCAAGTAGGATTAAGGAGAATCCCAAGGCACTTCGTACATGTATTAGGAGCAAGGAAGTAGCCAGAAAAGGGTAGGCCCACTCAAGTACAAAGGAGAGAGTTGATGTGTATTGCCAGAGGAAGTGGGTGAGGTCCTAAATGTGTACTTTTCATCGATATTCACCGAGGAGAAGGACATGGACAATGGTAAAATTAGGGAGGGATATGTTATTCAGGGGCATGTTAATATTCAGAAGGAGATGGTGTTGGGTATCATGGACAATTTTAAGGTAGATAAATCCCCAGACCCTGATGGGATCTATACCAGATACCTTGACAGAGATCTTTGTGTCCTTTTTAACCACAGGTGAGGTCTCAGAAAACTGGAGAATAGCCAGTGTTGTCCCCTTGCTTAAGAAGGGCACAGTGATAATCCAGGAAACTATAGGCTGGTGAGCCTTGCATGAGTAGTGGGGATGATATTGGTGAAGATTCTTAGGGACATAATTTACTCACATTTAGAAAGGAATGGATTCATCAGAGATAGTCAGCACACCTTTGTGCAGGGAAGGTTTTGTCTCTCAAAGGATAGAGCAGGGATATAGATCAGTTGGATTGTTGGGCAGAGAATTGACAGATGGAATTTAATCTGGACAAGTCAGAGGTGATGCATCTTATGAGGTCAAATGCAAGAAGAAAGTATACAGTAAATGGCAGGACTGTTAGGAGCATTACTGTTCAGAGAGATCTGTGAATGCAAGTCCATAACTCCCTGGAAGTGATGACACAAGTGGATAAAGTGGGATAGAAGGCATGCGATATGCTTGCCTTCATTGGTCAGGGCATTGACTAAAGAAGCTGGCAAATTGTGTGGCAGCTATCTAAAGCTTTAGTTAGGTCATTTTGGAGGGGAAAGTATTGAGGCAATGTGCAAGGCAAGTTTTTTTTTTTTTACACAGAGAGCGGTAGGTGCCTGGAACACAGTGCCAGGTAGAAGCATATACGATAGCAAAGTTTGAAGCGTTTAGACAATCAAACAGGTAGGAAATGGAGGGGTGTGGGCGATGTATAGGCAGATGGCATCATGGTCGGCACAGACTTGGTGGGCTTGAGGGCATGTTCCTATGTTCTAATAAAGAAAATGTCAGCATTGACGATAATTCCTTCTGAATTAATTCCACTGCGAATCAGAAAGCATCAGGAACTGTTGAGCATGTCCTCTCGCCCTGACTGATGCTGCTGGTGCCTGCGCACCTGATCCTGATGTCTTTCCAGTTTGTTAGCATGAGTATCCGAGATGTAGGCTGCTTGTGGCTGCCAAATCTCACTTCAGATTCCTGCTTTGCTTTGTGGGTAAATTTGACTTCTCGATGCATTGCAGATGTGCCAAGTGAAAAAGCTTTGTGTAGGAATTTCTCACCTACCTCAGTTAATAAATAATTGGCTTTATGCCCAAAATCATGGTCTCAAACCACACGTTGGGAGGTAATTTTTTTTAGATTAATGTTGTTTATTTGTTATTCTTTGGTAAGTGAATAAATACATTCACTTGTAGTGCATATTTGAAAATAAGTGCGAAAAACCATTTCAAAAGAAAGCAATACCCGAGTATATTTCTCATGCGAATTTGTACTCGTAAGGTTGCCTAAATCCCAGAGGTCCACAGGGTTGTGTTCTCATTAGAGATTCAGAAAAACAACTGGTGGGGAGTTTAACCTGAGTGTCACTATGCATCAGATTCATGATATTCTCAGCCAGTGCAAGAATTGAACTGTTGGCATTACTCTGCATCACAAACAAGCTGTTCAGAAGACTGAGTTAGTCGACTCTGATTAACCTTTATCAAGTTAATAAATCCATAGTGTCCTATATTTAACAAGTCATTTTTGAAAGCTTGATAGTCAGCATCACGCAGTTCTGCTGATTCAGAGCCTGTGATTTTCTTTAGGATGCAGTAGCACTACCAATTATTTAATTTTCTAAGAAACTGGTGGATGCCAATGAAAGTAGTAATTTGCCCAGTATAGCTTTTGAGAGTTATTTTCAGTGATTCCAAAACCTGTTCCCTCTGATCGAGGATTGGACACAACACCAAAAGAAAAATCATTATTGAATTTAATCCATTTTCTATTATAATAAAATTTGAGCTAGGCTACTGCTCTTAAATGTAACAATGAATACATTTCAGTGGAAAGGAGAAAACAAATTATTCCATTTCACTGCACTGGTACATACATTATTTTACATTTGTGATTATGCAAATACTTTTTAATCAGAAACTTGAACTCTAGTTTGACAATTTCTCAGTTGTGTCCAGCACAAAAACTGTAACCCAAGAACTGAATTTTTGTGTCAGTAAGCTATCAATAAAAAATTGGCCTGCCCTCCACAATTGATGTTTCAGTGGTATACATAAGAGTTCTGATGAAAATATTGTAATTTGCTTTCAAGCCAAGGCTATACCATTACAATTACTTGGATGCAAGCATACTCATTGGCTTGGAATTAAATTTTTTTTGTATTGATATGTAGTTTAGTCAAAGTTGTTTCTTATTTCATCTAGATTCTACTGTTGGTAATTTTCATGTGTGTGACATTGTTGATTGCCAGTCTCATCTGTCTCACGTTACCAGGTACATGAATATTTAATGTCATTTTGTATAACTCTTACAAGCATACTTACATTTTATCATTAAACTTTTCCAGAATAAGTATTCTTTATTGGTAATCCTTTTATGTATTATTTATATAGAGAATATTGTATTTATTACAGTCCTTAAAACATAGCCATATGTTTAAGTGCTCGGAGTTCAGGGAGCAATGAACAGTGGTCATATGTAAATAGTTCTTCTTTAGTAGTCATGGCCACATATAATAGTATGGATTTCAAGTTTCAGGCATGTGCTTGTAGATGCTAATAAATGTTCAAGATCTTGAGCCATCTCAATGTGGGTCACCCTTCCAAAAGTAACATTAATACATTAGAAATGGATTTGGAAGATCAACAAGAGTGGGTGTATATACACAAGACTGTGAGGAAAGATTAAAGTAATTAAAATTGTGGAGAGTACATGATTAACAGGAGAGTTAATTGGGTTTTAAAATGGAATATTAAAATGATATTGATTGGACGCTATATTAATTAAGATTAGAGTAACACGATTCAATCAATTTAAAATAACAAAATAATTAGGTTTCGTTTTGCTCAACATTGTAAATGTTTGTTTAAATTTATCTTCCAGGCAAACTGGAACTAATGCCTCTGCAGACATTCAGAATGTGGGAACTAGTTTGGGTCAATTGTGACCCAAACATCAAAGCTTTAAAGGCTCTAGTTGAATCCTTCATTACATAAATTAATATTGGCTTTTGAAAGATGTTTCTAGGCCTTTAGTTTCTTGTCAGTCTGAAATGTAGTTAATTTTATCATGTTTTATATTACTTGTTTTTTTCCATTCAAGCAATCACACCCTCTTGGCATTTATTTTGTTTCCAGTTTCAGCAGGCCGTTGGATTATGTCGTTTTGGACTGGCAGTGCCAAAATCCATGAGCTATATACAGCTGCCTGTGGATTGTATATCTGCTGGTTGACGATACGAGCAATTACAGTGTTAGCAGCATGGATGCCACAGGGGCGCGATGTTATTTTTCAGAAACTTAAAGAATGGTCCCTCATGGTGAGTCACTTCACCTGTTGAATTTAAATTGTTCCTGTTTTTGCTTACTAAGTAAATATTCAGGAGACGCATGGAGTACTGTAGAATGGTAACTTTGCTGTAATTGAGGCACATATTGTGGAAATCAGAAGCAATTTTTAAAAGTAGTATGTTAAATCTACTATTCAAACAAGTAAGAATTCAAAAATAAGCTAAGGTGACTGATCTCCAATAGCTGCAACCATCTTCCATTGTATTAGGTATGACTCTTACCGTTGGAGAGTTTCCCTCAGTTTCCCATTACTTCTAGTTTTGCTCAGGCTTCTTGATGCCGCACTGTAATGCAGCCTTGACGTGAAGGGTGATCACTTACACATCACCACTGGAGTTCAACTTATTTGTCCATGTTTGAATCAAGACTGTAATGAGATGAGGAGCTGAGTGACCCTGCAGTAATTGCCAAGTTTCCTTGCCCATGTTTGACTTTATGCCATCAGACCTTATAGGGTCTGGAGTGAACGTTAAGGACTCCCAATGCAACTCCCTCCCAACTGTATACCGTGCTGGCACCTTTGCTGGGTCTGCTGTGCCATGGATGTTGTTGCTGTCTCAGATATTGAGCTATGTCCAAGTCAAGCTGTTGCTTATGTAGACTGTGAGATAGCTTTCCCAATTTTGCAACTGGCCCCCAGATATTGGTCAGGAGGACTTTGCGGCATCGACAGGTCATTCTCAGTGCCAAAGTTGACACTAGGAGATCTGTCCAGTTTCTTTCTTTTTTTGAGGCTCCCTACCAGTCCATATAACTTTTTAGGCCATTTTAGAAGGCAGTTCAATATGGTCAGCCACATTACCGTTCATCTGGATATTAGTGAACCATTTGGGTTTCAACAACAATCGGCAATAGTTTCATAGTCACCACTAAACTTTTGCTTCCAGGTTTTTATTGATTCTGTTTCCACCATCAGCTGTGGTGGGATTTGAACCCGGCTCCATGGAACTTTGCCTGGATCTCTGCATTACTAGACCAGCAGTAATACCACTAGTGTATTTCCTCTAGTACATATATAGCTGACGATTGAAGAAGAATATGACTAAAAATGCATGAATAGTTTGCTTTAAGAGATCACAAGGTGCAGAGCTGGATGAACACAGCAGGCCAAGCAGCATCAGAGGAGCAGGTAAGCTGACGTTTCAGGCCTAGACCCTTCT